AAGGACAGGACCCCCAGAGGGGTCCGCCAGGGAGACCGCAACCGGTCGACTGATCGGCGTAAGCGTGGTGCGGTCTCGAAAGAAGGAGCGGGAAGCACCCGAGTCAAGAGTGAAGGTGTGTATAGCCTGAGCCGACGTGGTACCTGAGAGAGCAGACTCACCAGCACCTGGGGCAGCAGACGCACTAGCACCTAGAGCAGCAGCCTCACCAGCACCTAGAGCAGCAGCCTTAATGTCCGGGTCAGGCGGAACACACAGGTAACAGTCACCCTCATCACTTGTAGGCAATGCATAAATGGCAGTGACGATAGCATCATAGTCAAGAGTATAGATATCTACCCGCAGCCTAAGCAGCTCCACCCAATCACGGAGCTCAGCCGTGTCGCCAAACTTCGTACGCCAGGCGTCGCTCAGACGGGCGAAGCAGCGGGACTCTGCATGACCAAACGTCCCGCAAGGCTGACGAGTCCAAGTATCAGTGCGAATGACGTACGGACAGCGAGTAGTACCCCGTGACCCGCCAAGCTGAGCGTACCACTCACGAAGCTGCTGGGGCGAGAGGACCGCGTACGGACGACGCCGCAGGTGCACCTGGCCACTACAAGCAGCTGCGGAACTACTCACTCCAGGACGACTCCCACTACGGCCACCTCGACAACCCCAACTAGCGTACCACTCACGAAGCTGTTGGGGGGTGAGGGACTCACGCTGGCGACACTGGAGCTGCATCTGGCCACTAGAAGTAGCTGCGGAACTACTCACTCCAGGACGACTCCCACTACGGCCACCCCGACAACCCCAACTAGCGTACCACTCATGAAGCTGTTGGGGGGTGAGTGACTCACGCGGGCGACGCTGGAGCTGCATCTGGCCACGCCAGGAGCAGCAGTAGCAGTAGAAAGAGCTGTAGCAGCAAGAGCAGCAGTAACCGTAGTACAAGCAGGGCAGTGCTCACCAGTGGCGAGAAGGGCAGGCGTACGACGGCGGCAACGGCGAGGCCGCTACCACTATAGGGCGAGAGCTCCGCGGCAGCTGCAGGGGTGGCTGCTCCAGGGGCGGCTGCTGCAGGGGTGGCTGCTCCAGGGGCGGCTGCTACAGGGGCGGCTGCTGCAGTGGCGGCTGCTGCAGTGGCGGCTGCTCCAGGGGCGGCTGCTGCAGTGACGGCTGCTCCAGGGGCGGCTCGGCTGCTGGGCGACTCGGCTGCTGGGCGGCTCGGCAACTCGGCTGCTGGGCGGCTCGGCAGCTCGGCTGCTCGCTAGGGGCGGCGACTAGGCCGGGTAGGGGCGGCGACGAGGCCGCGTAGGGGCGGCGACGGAGCCGCGAGGGAGGGGAGCGGCGACGGAGCCGCTAGGGGCGGCAACGGGGCCGCGTAGAGGCGGTGACAGGGCCGCTAGGGGCGGCGACGGGGCCGCGTAGGGGCGGCGAGGGGGCCGCTAGGGGCGGCGACGGGGCCGCGTAGGGGTGGCGATGGGGCCGCGAGGGAGGGGAGCGGCGACGGGGCCGCTAGGGGCAGCGACGGGGCCGCGTAGAGGCGACAACGGGGCCGCGTAGGAGCGGCGACGGGGCCGCGTAGGGAGGGGAGCGGCGACGGAACCGCTAGGGGCGGCGACGGGGCCGCGTAAGGGCGGCAACGATGCCGCAAGGGAGGGGAGCGGCGATGGGGCCGCTAGGGGCGGCGATGGGGCCGCGTAGGGGCGACGACGGGGCCGCGTAGGGAGGGAGGCGGCGACGGGGCCACTAGGGGCGGGGACGGGGCCGCGTAGGGGCGGCGACGGGGCCGCGTAGGGAGAGAGGTGGCGACGGGGCCGCTAGGGGCGGCGACGGGGCCGCTAGGGGCGGCGACGAGGCCGCTAGGGGCGGCGACGGGGCCGCTAGGGGCGGCGACGGGGCCGCGTAGGGGCGGCGACGGGGCCGCGTAGGGGCGGCGACGGGGCCGCGTAGGGAGGGGAGCGGCGACGGGGCCGCTAGGGGCGGCGATGGGGCCGCGTAGGGGCGGCGACGGGGCCGCGTAGGGAGGGAGGCGGCGACGGGGCCACTAGGGGCGGGGACGGGGCCGCGTAGGGGCGGCGAGGGGGCCGCGTAGGGAGAGAGGCGGCGACGGGGCCGCTAGGGGCGGCGACGGGGCCGCTAGGGGCGGCGACGAGGCCGCTAGGGGCGGCGACGGGGCCGCTAGGGGCGGCGACGGGGCCGCGTAGGTGCGGCGACGGGGCCGCTAGGGGCTTGGAAGGGCGGCGGCGGGGCCGCTAGGGGCGGGGACGAGGCCGCTAAGGGTGGCGCGAGGGGCTGTGAGAGGGGCCTCTAAGAGAGCTCGACAGAAGGGCGGCCCAGAAGGCGCGCCTCGGGCAGGGGCGACTGGCGCTTCGGTCAGAAAAAATATTTCAGTGGTGGGCCCAAGGAAGCGTTCCCACTAGGGAACGTGCTCTATACCATATGAAGAAATGAGGAATGAATGAACTAGGAAAAGAGGTGGGTACAAGTAGGAAAACCTAGAAATGTTGTACCCCATATAGTCTACCCCACTACAGCCTACACAGACTATAGCATATAAGTTGACAACACCGCCAAACCTTGAACACGTGCACGATCGCCAACATTTCGCGGTCGTGTATCGGGTAGTTGCGTTCGGGCGGGTGCAGCTTGCGGGACTTGTACGCGATTGGCTTGAGGCCGTTCCCGAAGTCCTGCAACAGTACTGCTCCCACAGCGATGTCACTTGCGTCAGTGACGAGCTCGAACGGACTGTATGGATCTGCGATGTGAAGCACGGGCGATGAGCACAAAATGTTTTTGAGGGCCGAGAAGGCAGCTTGCTCTTTCTCCCCCCACTTGTACTCAACCCTCTTCCTCAGCAGGTCTGTTAGCGGGGCAGTCAGCTTCGCCATGTCGGGGACGAACCGGCGCACGTAAATGACAAACCCCAAAAAACTCTGCAACTCGGCCAAGTTGGTTGGCGCGTGCCATGCTTGAATCGTCGCAATTTTTTTCGGGTCTATTTCCACTCCTGCAGATGAAATAACGTGTCCCAAAAACTCCAATCTGTTGGAATCACTGAACAGGAATGGATGAACTAGCAGTGAAATGAGTACAAGTACCTAACCCTAGAATTGTGTACCCCCTACAGGCTAACCCACTGTAGCCTAAACTAACACAACATATATAATGTTTGACACACCCCCGTAGGCAAAGTGGGGGAGAACTAGGGGTCACAAGACCAGTCAAGGCAAAGCAAGGCAAAACAAGCTCAGGGTGGATCTCAAGGATACCACACAAATTCCGAGCACAAGCAAGTGGTCACAAGACCAGTTGACATGCAGGTTTATAATAGAGCAAAAGGTACAATGATCACAACCTAACAAGAGTAAACATGCAGGTATATATATAGAGATCATAGTACAAACAGACTCAAGAAGTAAGCAAGTGAGGTCCAAAAGGCACAAGGCCTAGAAGAGTGCAAAAGCGCTGATGGTCACAAGGCTGAAGCGCCTTGGTGAACACATCAGGAGTGTTGGCCTCAGAGGCCACGTAACGCAGGCGAAGCTGACCACGCTGCTGCAGCTCTCGAGCAAGGAAGTAACGCAGAGCAATGTGCTTCGTTCTGTGCTCCAGTCTGTGCTCCTCATACAAGGCAATGGCTGCCTTGTTGTCGACGTACAGCACTGGAGGAGAACGAGGCTGCTCTCCAAGGTCGGTCAGCAGGTAGGTGAGCCAGCGTAGCTCCTAAGCCGCCATGGCTGTGGCGTAGATCTCAGCCTCACAACTGGAGCTGAGAACAGAAGAAGAGCGAGTAGAACGCCAAGAAACAGAACCAGAGCCAAGACTGAAGGAGTAACCCTGAGACGACCGCTGAGTAGCCTGGTCGTCTGCCCAAGAAGCGTCTGAGTGCCCAGTGAGAACAACTGGGACTCGCCCTCCAAGCACTAGCCCCATGCCCGACGTACTGCACAAGTAGCGCAACACCCTCTTAGCTGCATCCATGTGCTCCTTCCGGTGACGGCCGGGAGCGACATAGCGTGCAAGAATGCTGAGAGGGTATGCAAGGTCTGGTCGAGTGCAGGTCATCAGGTACATGAGGCAACCCACAAGCTCTGGATACGGGCCACTCGGCTCTACGGACTCATCCGAAGGCAGAGCTGAGAGCGAGTGACCGGTAGGCAGAGGAGTGGGCTGAGGCGAGGAGTACGTGAAGCGGAAGCGCTGAAGGACCTGCTGCACCATGTGTGACTGAGTCAAGGTGATGGTGCGGCGTGCTCTGTCCCGGGTGATCCGCAAGCCAAGATAGCTTGTCATTTCACCCAGGTCTGTGCACGTGTGTCTCTTCTGCAGCTCCGACTTCACGTGAGCGAGTGCCACAGTGTCAGCAGTAGCAAAGACCAAGTCGTCGATGTACACAAGGACGTAGAACGGTGGCAGTGAGGTGTCGGTGCGTAGAAACAGCGACGGGTCAGCAGTAGAAGGCGCGAACCCAAGAGCCGCAAGCGTAGTCCTCAGTGTGTCGTGCCACTCACGAGGCGCCTGGCGGAGACCGTAGACTGGCCGTCGGAGGCTCCACTGGGTACCAGGAGGGAACGACCCAGTGAAGCCAGGTGGACGGCGCAGCCAGATCTCCTCGTGCAGGCTGCCCTGCAGGAAAGCAGTGCTGAAGTCAAGCGAGTGGAGCTCGTAGTCACGCTGAGCGGCGACGTGCAGCAGAACCCGAAGAGTGGTCATCTTTGGGTTCGGGGAGAAGGTCAGGAAGAAGTCAACTCCCTCTCGCTGACTGAAGCCTCGTGCAACGTAACGCGCCTTGAAGACAGGCGGAGAGCCCGGCGGCCGCTTCACCCTGAAAATCCACATGCCACTAACGATGTTCGCCCCAGGTGGGGGAACCTCGTCGACGTAGGTGCCTGTGGACTTCCAGGAAGGAATCTCTGTGTCCATGGCTGACTGCCACTGAGAGGAGTAGGGACTGGCCATCGCCTCTGCGTAAGAGCGTGGGGTCGGGATGTCTGGTGCATCCGGGTCTACCTCAGGGGCAACAAGCATGGACACGAGATGGGGCAAAGCGGCAGCAAAGCACTCAAACTCCTCCTGCCTGTCCTCAAGGACGTAAGTGGCAAGAGCACACTCACCCCCGACGGACGGAGGTCAGACAGACTCAAACTCAGCAACTAGGCTAGCAGCGTAGTCTAGACGACAGCGAGCAGCAAAGTCGACAAGCTTAGCAACTAAGGCAGACGCAGCAGCAGACTCAAAGGAAGGGTCAGTGAGAATAGTAGCCAGGAGACGCGTGACAGTAGGACTGGTAGCACGAAGAGAGTCTGACCCAGGGTCAGCAAGAGCAGGAAGAGAGGAAGCAGGAGGAGACGGCAGTGGGACACGCTGTGGAGCAGTGGACGGACGAAGCGCCATCCGGTGAGTGCCTGGGACAGCAGGAAGACGCTTACGCTGGACTCGACTACTAGAGAGAGCAGTGCGGACAGGCGACTCAGGACGAGACTCAGGCGATGTAGGACGAGTCGCAGGCTCACGCCGCTTAGTAAGACCTCCAGTCGGACCAGTGTAAGGAGCAGGACCAGGGAGAGAGGAGGCAGACGGTAACGCCGACTGCAGCTGGACAGGCGGAGGACACGCTAAGGAGGGAGGAGGAAAAGGAGGAGGAAGCTGACCAAGAACCTCCTGAAGGAGCGGAACAAAGTACGGCCGAGACCGAGCAGCGACACCAGAGCCAGCAGAGACACCCGCACCAGGGTCCGCAGCACCAGCAGCAGCTCCAGCGCCCACGTCCTCAGCACCAGCGGGAGCTCCAATGCCTGGGTCCTCAGCACAAGTAGCAGCTCCAACGCCCGGGTCCGCAGCACCAGCGGTAGCTCCAACGCCTGGGTCCTCAGCACCAGCAGCAGCTCCAACGCCCGGGTCCTCAGCACCAGCAGCGGCTCCAACGCCCGGGTCCTCAGCACCAGCAGCAGCTCCAACGCCCGGGTCCTCAGCACTAGCAGCAGCTCCAACGCCCGGGTCCTCAGCACCAGCAGCAGCTCCAACAGCAGCGGGGTCTGTAACACGAGGCACGCCACTCCGAAGAGTGCAGCGCCGCTCGTACCACTCACGGATCCACTCGCGGGAGGGGAGCTCCCGAACGGGAGAAGAAGCACTAGCACCAGTCCCAGTAGTACATCCGGCTCGAGCGGTACCTCTCCGGAGGCTGCAGTACTCTAAGTACCACGCACGCAGCTGCTCCGAGGAGAGGGCTCCTCCAGGTGCAGGACTCCCAGGCCTAGTACCTCCAGACTCAGAACCCCCACACTTCGGACTCCGCAGCTCAGCACCACGAGGCTCCACACCCCCAAGCTCAGCACCCTCAAGCTCCACACCCCCAGGCTCCACACCCCCAGGCTCCACACCCCCAGGCTCCACACCCCCAGGCTCCACACCCCCAGGCTCAGCACCCCCAGGCTCAGCACCCCCAGCAGGACGAGAGTCGACAGCTACCTCAACAGGCTCAACCGGGTCTACCTGAGACACACCTGAGAGAGCGGCACCCTGAGGGGGGAGGGGGTCTGCAACAGCAGCACCTGGCGCGAGGAAGAGAGGCGGGGGGGGGAGCGGGGCAGTGCGGTAGGGGAAGAGGCGGTAGTAGGGGACGGACTCGTCAAAAGTGACGTCCTGGGAGGGCAAGACTCGGCGCGAGGTGGCGTGGTAAAACTGCCAACCAGACGCGTCTGGGACAAAGCCGAGGAAGACGCAGGGAACAGCACGGGAGGAGAGCTTGTCCGCAGACGTATCGCGGACAAAAGCTCGAGACCCCCAGACCCAGAAACGCGACGCATCGCCAACCTCCCCCGTCCACAGCAGCGTGGGCGAGGTCTCCGGCAAGGAGACACGGGGCCAGAGGTTGAGCTGATGCGCAACGTACCGGACCGCAAACGGCCACAGAAAGTGGGGGGCAGCCGCATGGATCAAGGAGGTACGGGCGACCTCCATGACCAGGCCAATGCGGCGCTCCGCAACCCCATTCTGCTGTGGAGAAGCCGGAAGCGTGAACAACTGCTCAATGCCGTGCTCAGCACAGTAGGCTGCCAAGAGGTCGGAGGAGAACTCACCACCTCTGTCAGAGTGCAAGCGCAGGACAGGAAAGTCCGAGTGAAAACGCTCGCTGAGCTGGAGACGGGCTCTGCGGATCCAAGGGATCAAGACATCAAGGACCTCACCCTTGGTGCGCAAGGGGAAGACCGAGGTGTAGCGCGAGTAGTCGTCAACAACTATCAGGAAGTACCTCTCCTGACCCTGACCACGGACGCGGGCTGGGCCCCACACGTCCATGTGGAGTGTCTGCAAGGAAGCAGTCGTCGGGGGTAACGAGGAGGAGTGAGGAGCGGCGCGCTGCCGTCCCTCGACACAGGGGAGACAGGTAGGAGCAGGCGAGGGTGGGAGGGCAGGAAGGACCCTGGGCAGGCCAGAGACAAGGTACCGGGAGTGCATGGCACGAAGCCGCTGCACAGACGGGTGGCCAAGGCGGTGGTGCCAGAGGACAGTCTCGTGTGCCAAAGAGCGACACGAGCAGGGGGCGGACAGCTGACCTGACGCGGACGCGGACGCAGTCGCAGCAACCTGAGCGAACTCAGTAGTCAGTGTGTACAGGTCCGACCGTGGCTGCCGAGTGAAGGTAGCCAAGTGACGGCCCGTACGAGCACACGTGCAGTGTGTCACGCGCTCGTAGGCAGGGGTGAACTGGTGAACACCCCCGTCCTGGAGTGCACATCATGCCACCAAGTTTGTAGAGAACGAGGGGAGGTGGAGACCTGACAGTGTGCCCGACGGGACCGCAGGGCAGGGAAGGACAGTGGAAGAGGTCGCAATGATCGGACCCCCAGAGGGGTCAGCAAGGGAGACAGCAACTGGCCGAGCAAGCGGCTCAAGGGCAGTGCGGTCACGAAAGAAGCAGCGAGAAGCACCTGAGTCCAGTGTGAAGGTGTGCAGTGCAGCAGTCGACGCAGTACCAAGGGGGGGAGACACACGAGCACCTAGAGCAGCGGCCTCACCAGCACCTGGGGTAGCAGACACGCGAGTACCTGGAGCGGCAGACGCACTGGCCCTAATGCCCGGGTCGGGCGGCACATACAAGTACTCAGCACCCTCTCCACTAGTAGACATCACATACATGGCAAATAGAATAGCATCAAAGTCTAGAGCATAGATATCAATCCCCTTCTTTAGGAGATCAAGCCAGCGGGGCAGCTCAGTGGCCTGAGGGAACTGAACACGCCAAGCGTCGTCGAGACGAGAGAAGCAGCGCTGTGTGGCGTGCGGTCGTCCACACTGCTGACCAGTGCGGTCACCAGTGCGAATGACGTACGTGCAGCTAAGACCACCCCCACCCCCGTGCTGAGAGTACCACTCACGGACCTCCTGGGGCGAGGGAGTGTGCTGCTGGCCCTGGCCACCGCCAGTGCCTCCACGGCCACCACCACCGCTGCCACCTCCTCGACCACCCCAACCCCTGCCGCCGCCTCGTCCACCGCCACCCCAACCGCCGCCTCCACTCCTGCCACCTCCCCCGCCACTGCCGCCACCACCCCCACCGCTACCACTCGCCCCTCCAGCCGAGCCACCACCCCCACTGCCTCCACCGCCCCCACCGCCGCCTCCCCCGCCGTCACCGCCACCACCCTTGCCCCCTTTGCCCTTGCCGCTGCGGCGTCCGCTCGAGGTAGACGCAGCGCCGACCTTCTCAGTACCAAGAAGGTCGACAGCAGCAGCAGAGGCGACAAAGGGAAGAAGGGGGGAAGGAGAACACCCCTCAAAGAACGGGGTACGGGGGTCGCCACGAGAGGCACCTACAGCGACTATGCTAGTCTCAGCTGCAAGTAGCTCCTTCTCGAGGAGGGCAATGGTGAGCTCAGTGGGGCAATGAGCTAGGAAGTGGTCCTTGACAGCACGCAGTGTGTCAGGGAGGCGGGTGACTAGGTGGTAGAGAGTGAGCCAGAGTGGAGGGGGGTGCGTGGCAAGGAACTCAGCAGGCATGGCGGCACGGAAGCGGGCCTCACTAGTACGGAGGTGCGTGATGAGGTCAGCGACTGTGTGAAAGGAGGCCAGGTCGGGAAACAGGTAGGGGAGGGAGAGACGGCCTAGTGCGGCAGAGGCAGGTGAGGAGTAGCGAGCAACTACAGCTGTGTACAGTGCCTGTGCAGTCTTGTGCTGACCAAAGTGCTCGCGTTCGTCTATCGGCAGGGAGTTGCGAATGGCAAAGCGAGCGTGGGCATCACGAGTCTGCCACTGTGAGCGAGCAGTGCTGTCAGCAGTAGCAGCAGGGGCAGTGACATGGCCTAGGGCGTGATCGTACAGTGAGATGTCATCCTTGGCTGTGAGCTGTAGGTAGAGGTGCAGGTCATCGAGCCAGGTGTCAAACTTCACAGGGCGGCCCTCAGCATCGAACACGAGAACCTGTGGGCTAGCCATAGGAACAGTAGAAATAGCAGCAGTAGTAGTAGGAGAAGCAGGTAGGACGAACCAGGTAGGGCAGGGCGGCGCGGCTCGGTTCAGGTCGGGTCGCGGCTCGGCTGGGTGGCGCGGCTCGGTTCAGGGCGCGCGGCTCGGCTCGGGGCGCGCGGCTCGGGTCGCGCGGCTCGGGTCACGACGGGGACGGGCCGCCCGCTCTCCCTCGTTTGCTGCGGCGGGAACGGGCCGCCCGGGGCCTCTAGGTGGTGGGCACGGGTCGGCGAGGTCGGCACGGGGCCGGTTGGGGCCCTAGAGGGGCGAGCGCCCGGCCGATCGGGGCGTGAGCGGGGCTAGCGCGGGGCCAAACGGGGCCTTGACGGGGCTAGCAAGGGGCCGACGGGGCCTGAACGGGGCTAGCGCGGGGCCGACGGGGCCTGAAACAGGGCCGACGGGGCCTGAAACGGGGCTAGCGCGGGCCCGATCGGGGCCTGAATGGGGCTAGCGCGGGGCCGACGGGGCCTGAGAGGGGCTAGCGCGGGGCCGACGGGGCCTGAAACGGGGCTAGCGCGGGCCGACGGGGCCTGAGAGGGGCTAGCGCGGGGCCGACGGGGCCTGAAACGGGGCCTGAAACGGGGCTAGCGCGGGCCGACGGGGCCTTAGAGGGGCTAGCGCGGGGCCGACGGGGCCTGAAACGGGGCCGACAGGGCCTGAACGGGGCTAGCGCGGGGCCTGAACGGGGCCTTAAAGGGGCCGACGGGGCCTGAACGGGGCCGCTAGGGAGAGCGGGCGTGGGGCCGACGGGGCCTGAACGGGGCTAGCGCGGGGCCGTCAAGAGGGGCCTCTAGGGGCGTGACACGCCGAGGCGCCCTAGGGCACAGGTAGGTAGGTAGGTAGGTAGTTACGTAGTGGTGGGCCCTTAGAAAATTTCGGTCCTAGGAAGGACCTGCTCTATACCATGTTGGAATCACTGAACAGGAATGGATGAACTAGCAGTGAAATGAGTACAAATACCTAACCCTAGAATTGTGTACCCCCTATAGGCTAACCCACTGTAGCCTAAACTAACACAACATATATAATGTTTGACACAATCGGTCCTGGAAAAACTCACACTTAGACGCTTTGGTCAGTAGGCGGTTCTCACTTAGGATCTTAAAAACAGCTTTGATGTCCTGTAAGTGCTGTGCTCTGTCAGGGCTGTAAATTAGTATGTCGTCTAGATATACTATGACGCACTTATCTAAGAGCGAGCGGAAAGCTTCGTTCATAGTCATTTGAAAAGTGGCGGGGGCGTTGGTCAGTCCGAAGGGCATGACGGTGTATTCGAAGGATCCGTAGTGTGTGCGAAATGCGGTCTTAGGGCAGTCGGGCGAATTGACGCGAATCTGGTGGTAACCCCCTCGGAGGTCGATTTTTTAGAAAACCCGGGCTGTGCGCAGTTGGTCGATCAGTTCGTCGGCTCGCGGGATGGGGTAACGAGATTTGATGGTAACCCTGTTCAGTGCTCTGTAATCTATGCACATGCGAAATCCCCCGTCTTTTTTCGGTGTGAACAGTATCGGTGCTGCGAAGGGCGACGAACTAGGGCCAATGAATTCCTTCTCGAGCAGGTAATCGAGCTGCTTCCTCAGTTCGTCCAGTTTGGGCTGGGTCAGTCGGAATTGTCGCTGTACTGTTGGCTGTGCCCCCGGTTCTAACTCTATCCTGTGGTCGTGCGGTCGCTGAGGTGGCAGTCCCGTCGGTAAATCGTCCGGGAAAATGTCGCTGTACTGCTTCAATAGTGCTGCCAGGTCACTCGGTACGTCGGCCAGCAGTTTCTGTAAATCCCCTCCTTTGTCTGCTGCCTCGGCTTCTCGAATGTCGACCACGTACACGTCAGCTCCTGCCGCTACGACGCGTTTCATCGTGATCGCGTTGACACGCACCGACGAAGACTCAGGTGAGCCCCAGCGAGGTAAGGCGATGTTGTTACCGTTCATTCGCACGGTGCAGTCACCCGTCGTCCAGTCGATTCGCGGATTGTGTCGTCGCAGCCAATCACGCCCGAGTAAAATATCGGTTCCGTCGAGGGTCGTTGCGAGCATTTCCTGGCTAAACGTGAAGTTACCCCCACATCGAATCCGAACCCGGTCTACGCGTTCCCGTATCGCCAGCGGCGTGCCGTCTACCAGTCTTGCGTCGAACTCAGGTAAGCATCTGTCCAGTGGCAGTCGCACTTTTCGTGCTGTGGCAGTGTTGATGAGGCTGTGGCTGGCTCCCCCGTCTACGAAGATTTTTACTAAGTCCGTCCCGATTTTCCCACTAAGCAGTATGGGGCTGTCTACTGTAGTACCCTCCTTATTCGGCCGGGTGTGGTCGATTGCGTGAACCGGCACAATCACTCGGTGAGGGTCGGTTGGGTCGGGCGAGCGGCGTGACCTGTCAGTAGAGGGCCCGTCTGCTACTGACTCCCAGCGTTTCCCTGCTGCTTGGTCTGTTTCTGCTGCTCAGCTTCCCCCTTTCCCTTAGTGTTTTCCGGGCATTCGCTCTTGCGATGTCCCGGCCGATTGCACGCAAAGCAGCGCCCTTTGAGCGGTGCGGCAGCGGCGTTTGCGGTGACGGCACGTATCGTGGCACCCTCGTTCGTCCCATGAGGCCGATGTCCCCAATGGCTGCTTCCGTAGGACCCTGGTCTCGGTCGGCGGAAGAAATCAAGTTTCTCCGCCATGGCGAGAATTTCTTGAAAGTCGGTGACGCCGCGGAGCTGGATTTCCTGAGCGATGTCCTGCTTCAGGCCGCCGATGTAGCGGTCGATGCGCTCGCTCTCGTGCATATATCCCACCTACTCGCATAGCGCCAGAAATCTGCTCGTGTAGTCTTGGACGGAACCGAGTTGGCGCCAAGTGCGGAGCTTCTGACGCGCCGCGATCGAAGCCGCGATTGGCTCGTAACGAGCGCGCAGACCTGCGCACCACGCGTCCCACGTGCGATACTGGGGCACCTCCACGAAATACGACGGCGCCCAGGGTCCGGTTTGTCCTTCCCTTGTCGGTAGAGTTGCGTAGTCCGCCGGCTTCGTGACGATGACGCGCCACCAGTCCATGGCGGGTCCTCACAGCAAGGACACGGCGTAACGAGTCTTCGCCGTATCCTCCGAGACGTAGTTCGCGTCGAAGAAAACGTTCAACGTGAAGAGCCACGCCTGAACGGTAGGACCACCCCGCTGACTTGGGTCAAAGCATGGCGGACGCTGCGGCTTTAGCGGCATCGGCGACGGAAGAGTTGGTCCGCCGGCCGGCACTGAAATCGTGACTTGAGGCTGAGTCCTGGCTGCATTCGTCGCGTCGGGGCGTGTCGTGTCGTGGTCGTCGTCTCCGTCATAGCGGACGACGTGTCAGTAGATCTGCACTGTGGATGCCCGATTGATCCTACTGACACGACGCCATCACTTGCGGCGCTCGCGGGTTGCCCCACACTTCCGTGCTGTGATGTTTGTGGTGCGGGCTGAATCGGAGCGCCATGTGCTTGGGATTGTGCTCGCGTGAGGTCGTTTTGCAGGGACGAGCGTTCTGCCGTCAGCGTCGCGATTTCCTCGACGCTCTCGCGGATTTGTCGCAGCAGATCGTTCAAGTGCTCCTGCGTGAGAGTCGTGACGTCGATGTGTTCAGCCATTTCGAAGGGCGTCGGCTCGTCTTAGTCTAGGCGCAGTCGTGGCTGCACGTGTTTACGAGAGAACGCGAGGACAGCGGCTCCTAGGTGCTAAGGTACGTGAGTCCCTTCGAGTGAAAAATCAAAAGTTGATTTCCTCGGGTGCGGAGATGCGCGGTCCGAAAGAAAGGGGCTCTGAATACCAAGTGTTACGAGCGCAATGAATCGAAGTAGCGAGAATTGCACTAAGGTGTCAAACGAGTACAAAGATGTGAGCGAAGGCATGAGCGAACATTTATACGCGAAACATGCAAACAGTAATGCGGTGCGTGCGAGCTAGCTAGTGCTATGCTGGCAGCGAGGCTCGGGCTAGTCCCGAAGCGTAGGCCGACACGGCCGGGCCAGAAGTGCAAGGTTTGGCAAAACAGTGCGCGGGAAGTTGGCGAAGTTCCGTTAGCAGTAACGGGCGAACAACGGCTGTTGCTGTACGCGATGTAGTCGGGCTCCGTAAAGAATGCCCAGAAAATGCCTTACAGAAAATATCATATAGCCTTAACTATCAAACAAACGCCAAAAAAAAAAAAAACACACTTACACACACAATGTCAAACCGCAAAGCTATCCTAGTGATAAATGACAAAAGTTAGAAGAAGAAAGAGGAATGAACTAGCAGAAATGGGGATACAAATAGCAAAACCCTAGAAGGGTTGTACTCGCTATAGAGCACCCCACTACAGGCTAGTACATAAGATAATATTCTGACAATAAAATATATTGAAACATTATTTTAACCTATGATAGTTATATTTCCGAATATTAAGAAATAGAGCTAGAAAAAGTTACAATAATTTAAATATCAATTTGAACAATATTAATTTTGCATATGACAGACAACAAAAGTTGTATAAAAATCAAAACATTTTATTGACATAATAAGTAATGCATTCAAGGCATGATATGGACTGTATAAATAGATAATTTAATCACAGTTTTTAATTAGTCAGGCTACATTTGTTTTTCCAGAGTATCCGTAAGATGCTTGCTGTAATAGTGATCGGAAATTATATCGAATACGAGCATGTAACGTTTTTCTAAACAGAATTGCGCATTCTGTTGGTGTATACGTGGACAGTCAGTTTTCTTTTGCTGAGTCAAACCTGACTTGTACGGTGTACAGTCTGGTTGGAACGTGAAGTTACCAGCCAGGTTTTCCGGATGCACTGTTCATTACCATTCAGGCAATAATGTTGACCATCTCGGCAATGCTGGTTACCATGGTGGCGATGAGAAGAAATCTCTGTTACGATTTCGACACGTAGCTTACCTTGTGTGCGTTTGAGCTCCATGAGTGTTACCGCTAAGATAAATGCCCAAAACATTTTGCTCTCTTCACCTGATGGTAAACATAGCCTTAACAACGAGATGCATCTGGAAATCCACAAGTGAATGCAGATTGCAGCTAAAATAGCTCATGTAGAGCCCTTGCGTAGGGTGCAGAAATAGGAGCTTAGTAATTATCATAGGACACTTGGACCTCCTTTCCAGTTCGCGAATGCAGCAGATGCTGCAAGTTGGCAGCTTCAGGCCACCGTTACTCCCCCCTGCTCGCAGCAGCTGCCTGTTCAGCTTCCAGAAGGGAAAGCGCTAACGCAAGGCGCATTTGCCCTTCAAAATCATCCGGAACAACAAAAGGCACCCCTCCTTGCTCCCCCCCTGCACCCGCAGCCAAACCAGCACGAGTAGTGCTCTCACTGCCATCCACCAGGCTACCCTCACCACCACCACCACCACCAATCCCTCGCATGAGAAAGCTCTCAATCACCTCCTCATCATGCGAATCGTCCTGCTGTCGCTGCATCCCCTCCTGCTGCTGATGAGCCTCTGCTGCTGCAGATGCCTGTGAAGGGCCCTGCATACCACCCGGATTCTCCTCACTCACATCAGAGCTTGCTGCAGCAGAATTTGACGCGGCACTTGTTGCTGCTACTGCTGCAACACCTGCACCTTCTGTTGTCGCTACTGCTGCTGCTGCTGGCAATGCCTCGGGTGCAGGGACGGACTCTACCTGCCTGGGTGCAGCTACTGCGGCTGTGTCAGTGGCAACTGCTGAAGCTGATGCTGATGCTGATGCTGATATTGCTGCTGCAGCTGCTGGTGTTGAGTCTGATGTGCGGCGAGCTGCCTCTTCTTGATCCTGATGCCGGGTCGAGTAGGGGGGAGAAGCAGGGAAGTGAAAGGAAGAGATTTTTTAGTCAATTAAAAGGGTGTTTCTTTAGTTGACTCAGTAATTGCTGGTGTTGAAGCTGAATCTGATGTGCGGCGAGCTGCCTCGTCTTGATCCTGATGCTGGGTCGAGGGGAAAGGGGCAAGTGGGGAGGGAGAGACAAATGGACGCCATGAGCAACAGCTGCTCTTCCAAATCCACTCCCAAGAAAGGCAAGAAAAGCAGAGCCCCACAGCAGGTAGCAGCTGGACAGAGAGCGGCAGAGGAAGCAAGGCGTACCTGCAGCGAGAGCCAGATGGCCTCCATGAGCAAGAGCTCCTCCAAATCCACTCCCAGCTCGTCCGCTCTGATGGCATGGCACACGGGACACATGGAGCGGGGATGGCGATTGGAAACATCCAACGTAGTGGAAACATCCAACACATAGAGATGGTTGATGCATGGGACGCATGGAGGTGGGGGGAAGGGGGAAGAGGGAGGCATGAAGAGAAATGAGCGAGAGAGGCATGGAGTGGAAAGGCTTGAAGCACGGAAAAGGGTAGCACATGAAAAGAGGATGGATTGGGGAAGCCGAGAAGAGAGCAGCAACGAAAGAACGGCACACGGCTAGTAAGCAGAATTATACCTTGAAGGGGAGAGCCTGGGAGAGACGGTGGATCCATGGCTACTCGCAGCACCCATTGCAGCACCAGTTGCGCCTGGCCAACCTCCCATTGCTCCCACGCCTCTCCCTGACCCCGAACCATATCTTCCCGAACCAGCCCTGGCTCCCACTGCCAAGCCTGCCCCTTCCACCGAGCCTGGGTACCAGGCTCGGGTGCTGCTGCTGGAGCTGCCAGTGGGGGAGGAAAAGGAGGCAGCTGTAGCACCGGCTGTAGCGCCAGCACCACCAGCACCAACACCACCAGCACCACCAGCAGCGCCAGCAGCGCCAGCAGCAGCGGCGGCAGCAGCAGCAGCAGCAGCAGCAGCAGCTCTGCGGCGGGCTCGTTCCAACTCCAGGCGATGGTGGGCCATGTTGCCGTCGAACACGACTTCATCATCATCACCATCATCACGCCACTCACCAAAGTTTGGGACCACTCCTCCGCCTGCCCCTCCCCCTAACCCTCTCCCCCCTGCTCCCCCTCCTCCCATCCCCCCTCCCCTGCCACCAGCACTCCCTCCCACACCATATGTAGGCATCATGCCCCTAACCGCGCCCCCAACCCAAACCTCACCCCCATCCCCACCCCCTACTCCGCCCGTCCCGCCACCGGCCCCATACCTCCCACCACCATCATTCACACCTGGAGAATACCCTCCCCCACCCGGCAAATGCAGCTGATTCGGCCGCACCCCTGCTCCCGCCCCTGCTCCCCCCCCTGCAAACGGCCCCTCCCACCAATTGTGACTAGCCGTCTGGTTACCACCGCGGCCGCTGTTACTGCTGGGGCGGGAGGTGGAACGGCCTATGCCCCCCCTCTCTCGAGAGGAGGACGAGGCGGAGGAGGAGAGCTGCAGGGAGGAACGGAGGACCCCCATGCCTGTGTCGCTGCTGCCACTGGCTGCTGCTGCTTCTGCTGCTGCTGCTTCTGCTGCTTCTCCTGTCTCCCCTGCTGTTTCGCCTGCTACTGACGAAGCACTCGTGGCAGCAGCAGCAGCAGATGTGGGGGGCGTAGGAGGAGTGCGAGAGGGCGGGGGGGTGGTGGGAGGGAGCGCGGAGGAGGTGGAGGAGGAATTGAGGGAAGAGGCAGCTTCTGTTGCCGCCTGGCGTTCCGCCACCCGTGCTGCATACGCCTCCTCCTCCTCCTGCCGCATCCTTATCTTTGCTTCTATCACCTTCTGCTCCTCCTGTTCAGGATTAAAAAATGGCGAAACACATAAGGAACAAGAACAGAGACAATTCAAGTGTGTGACGCGAAGATGGAGAAAAACAAAAGAAAAAGTAGCCGGCGGGAAAGAACACGAGAGTTCAAACAGAGCAAGCAGCTGTGCAAGAAAGGGAGAAAATTTTCTGACTCAACTCAACCACATCATACCTCCAGCTCCACGTTTCTCTCCTCTGCTGTGCGTTTCCCCCGAAATTCCACCGAGAATGTTGGCGCCTTGCAGAACGGACACCTGAGAGGTGACACGCAGCAAGAGAAGCTGATTAGCGGTGATAGAAGGTGATTTTTGAGACGTCTCAAAAGCAACCTCGCTTCACGGACACCTGAGAGGTGACATGCACTAAGAGAAGCTGATTATCGGTGATAGAAAGGTGATAAGTGGCGAAAGAGAGGTATTCACCAGTGAACGACAGAGGTGACAGAGAGGGGGGGAGGGGTGACAAGGAAATTACGAGCGAAAAACAAGACGAGGAGGAGGAGGAGGAGGAGGAGGAGGAGGAGGAGGAGGAGGAGGAGGAGGAGGAGGAGGAGGAGGAGGAGGAGGAGGAGGAGGAGGAGGAGGAGGAGGAGAGCAGGAGAGAGGAGGGAGAAGAGGAAGTAGCAGAGGAGAGTGAGCAAGGGGGAAAGAAATGAGAGGGCTGGGTGGAACTCACTGCAGCATGCTGGAGGCCGTTGGGGACTTCATTTGCAAAAAGCACTCTGCAAGGGATGTATTAACGTGAAAAGAGACGGAGCGTGTGAACAAACAAACACCAGCAGTTATTAGCGTGTTGAATTTTGAGTCGACTTCAAGTAAAAAAGAGACGGAGCATGTGAACAAACAAACACCAGCAGTTATGACCGTGCAGGTGCTTTCACGAAACAGACAGAGTTAAACAGAGTTAAAAATGGCACCGAAACGAAACAGTAGCTAGCTTACCACGGAAGGGGCAACAATGAGATTTCTTTGCATTCCTTGTTGCGAAGCTGGGTGCGTCAGCTTTGGCTGAGGACGGAGCGAAGCAGAGAAAGAGGCGTTACCTGTGCACATGCCCTTCCTGCAGCATCTCGATCGATTTAGACATGGATAGTTCTGTCAAAACAAGGGAAAAGATTACAGGAGCGAGGCACAGACAGGCAGACAGGCATCAACTATACAGGAGGACACCCGAACCATGAGACTGAGGACATCTGAATCACGCAACCCGTGAATTCCGAATCATAACTACGCCACCCATACAACAGGAGGTCAAACATCGTTACATAGATGATAACTATTACTTCACGCCTGGGGGGGGGCGGCAAGGGATTGCTTAGGAATGAGGTCCACAACCTGTACCAGCAATGTACATGAGACAAGCAATATCCCGTTGAGCAAGCAGCACTCACGAGGAAGAAGATGGGGCACTCATCCTTGTCGCTACTGGGTTCGTCCCCCCCCCCCCCCCCCCCCCCCACGTGGCATGGCGCGAGCGAGCTTAACTTCAAGAATTATTTTCTAGTGGACTCGGAAAACACTATCGATACTCACGAGAAAACAGTTAGGGCATTCGTCGAGGTCGCTGCTGTGTTCCTCGCCGCCCACGTGGCACGGAGCTAGCAAGCTTATTCCAGGATAATTTTTGAGTGGACTCAGAAAACACTCTCAGCACTCACGAGGAAGCAGATGGGGCATTCGTCCAGGTCGCTGCTGGGTTCGTCGCCGCCCACGTGGCACGGAGCGAGCTTGGCGTCGAGAATGAGCCGTCGAAGCTTCTTCAGGTCGATGTCGCGGTGCGGGTACAGCCCCTGCGGGTGCGTGTACTGCTCCTCCACCGTATACCGTCGCTTTGTAACCTTGTTACCCATCGCTGCAGATAAGTGGTTCTTCCTGATTCGCGAACCACCTGCGGGTATGATGCTAGCAGTGTAGCAACACTATCCAATCCACACGTTACCAGGTGGAGGTCCGAGAGAAAGGCCCGCGGCCTCGCGCAACCTCCCCAGGGAACAAAGCAACGGCCTAGAGACGCGTTAGTCTACGCGTTAAGCCAACTAAGTAGCGGACCTAATCAATTCACCTAGACTCCTCCGTCGTTAGATTTCCGTTCTAGACCGAATCAGCGAATAACGAAGCTAGGGGAAGTAGACGGAGATAGCATCGCCTTGCCAGAATACAAATCCGGAGATTTCTAAAAAAGCGCTCACGCGTCAAGCTTAAATCACCACGGTCGAAGGCCTGCGAACGCCAGGTTCGGAGCTCTCAGTAGACTGAAGCCAGAACAAGCCATTGCGTGGCTCAAGGTAGGTAGGTTGCGTGGCTCAAGGCACGTTGCGAAATTCAAGGCAGAACAAGGCAGGTTCGCAGCTGCGACTCTCTACTGCAAGGACGCTTCAGTGAAAAGAGCAACCGCAAGCAGGTATTTGTTGGTAGTCGCTATCCTGCCTTTAAAACGAAGCGTTCGTGCTTGTATTAGTTGCAATCAGCGAGCACGTAGCTGCCACCAACCGACGTGCCTTCGCCCTCGTCGAACGAAGCAAGGAAGTCGGACCGTGCGACTAGCAGTAGGTAGGGACCTAAGCCACAGAACTGCAGCTACAGATTCCTAAGGGATTTTCAAACGCTCAATAGCGCTTGCTGATTCGAGAAGGAAGTACCTACAATAGAACAAGCGAAACCTATCTGTGTGGTCCGAAAGATGGCTTCTATTGACTCATTCACCGCCTTTCCCCAAGAGCTTTCTTGTAACATCGGCTGTAAGGACATGACTCATAAGTCATGAACCACACGGAGTTCCCTAGGAATACGTAGTTTCCGAGAATGGCTCTGTGCAGGTTGTGCCTCACCTGTCCGTGTCCTTCACTCCAAATCCCCTGTGGTCTCTCCTGCTGAAAACACCTTCGAACAGAGGGATTGAGAAAGTTTAGGTCTGTTACATCGCGGTTGGTGGCGGTTATGATGTATGAACTGCCTTCTGCACACCGAACCTCCAATCTAGCTCGAGCCTCTGCAATAGCCCCGTTATGGAAAAACTGACCTACCGTCGAGGCTCCTTTTGATGGTGTGTTGACGGGCAGGTCGCACGGAACGGGTATCCATGGCAAGACGACTAACCGGCGAACACCAAGCGACAGCTGTGCGCCGCCGAATTTCTGCCTTCGCTGTGGGTTATGGTTGTGTCGCTGGGTCGGTTCGGGTTTACACGCGTCGCAAGCGAATGGATGAGCGCGAGTAGGTTCGGTAATCCGAAAGAAACATTTGACTGCAGCCGCGACGAAGGGCAAGCTGGGATGGTGCAACAAACCAGAACAAGCGGTTCGCTATAGACATCACTGCGAAAAGAATAAGCAGGACATGAATCATGAAGCAATGATTGTAGCAACCTTATGAAGTTGTGGAACATCCCAAGTGGGGCATGCGTGACATAATCGAGCACATCAGATACTTTTCCTATAGTAACTCGCTTAGGAAGGCTAATAACAGGACAGAATCCGTCTTGAGCTTTCCTTTCCTTTCTCCAGCACTTGGGTGCTGGCTCTTAGTAAACCCCTCGTAGACTTCTTTGTAAGTCTCTTAGTGCCAGTGTTTCCCGCGTCGGGCTTCGGTCGTCTCGTGGATAGCCTATCTTTCGGTTCCATTCCGACACTCCCAGCTGCCTAGGTCTCTTGCTACGATGGGGACGAAGCTTCCAACGAAAGAGGCCAATCAGTTCAAGCTTATTGTGGTGCGTAGGCTTAGATTCACAAGCTCCCTCCGTAGTCAATGTCAGGATATTAGGGTCGCTCATCTGTCCACCCAGGCGTCGGAAAATGTGATTTCAATAAAGTTGAAATAGGCTTCGCCGTAATAACGTTCGGCCTAATGGCGTTTGTCCCAGCGTCGTTAACAACTGTCTTCTCAATCCCAGCAAGTTTGGACCACCTATCTCGTGATTACGTGGTTTCGTGACTACTCAATTTCTGATCTGCCTGCATTGGTGGACGTCCGTCACTGTCAGCTGATCGGGGTTTTAGTAATACGCGCGCTTCAATGTGGAAGGGTAGAGTGAAGATTCTTCCAGTCCCCTGTTTCTTTCTCGAGGAATTTGCTGCAAATCTAGCCTGTCGTGAAATGGCAGACAAAGATCCAGTCTAGCGCGTATGCTGATTACACCTCCGCGCCTCGTCCCCTAACTTAAATTCAGCTGAGCATAGAAGCTCATGCTCGGCATCACGCGTTGCGTGATATTCCGGCTGTTTGCGAGAATGCTCGGCGCCATTCGTTGGGTGATATCCTCCAAAGCACTGTATCTGCTGGTCTCAAGCCTCGCGGCCCTCCATTATCCCTTTTATCCCCTCAAACCAACCCCGTTATAAGCAGAAATCGTACGAGACGAAGCAGTACAAGAAGGGACTCAAAGCCGCGGATGCGATTCTCAAGAAGTTCCCGGAGCATGGTGGTACGCACGGACGGGACCGGGGTTGTGATTGGGCTTGTGCCTGTGCTTGTTCGTGTGCTTGTGATTGTGTTTTGAGATGAATATGGGTGGTAGGGAAGGCAGAGGGCAGAAGGGAAGGGAGAGCAGGGGGCAGCTGGGTCGAGAGAAGGGGGGCAAAGAAATGAGAACTTAAAAGTGATCCCAATGTAGCTGGCTGCGTGCACCCCTCTTGTGAAAGAGTCTCAGCTCGTGCCACATAATCGCCCGTCGGAATCCGTCGCCCATGAAGTGTTCCGCGGTGGCTTATATCGAGTATATCTTCTGACTTCCCCGCCCTCAGAGACCCTGGCGATGAAGGGTCTGATTATGAACTGCATGGAGAAGAAGACGCAGGCTTATGAGCTCGTGCGGAAGGGGCTTAAGGTACGGTACGGTTTCTCAGGCAAGTTGGTTCTTACGAGCTTGTGCTTTCCAGCTGGTGTCTATGATTACCATCCAAGTGCATCTGAGGCAACACGCAAAAACCTCCTGCCGTGTAGATTCGTTTTGAGACGTCTCAATCTCGTATTGTGGTCCTTCCGCCAACCACTCCCCCTCCCTGACCCCCACTTCCCCTTCTTCGCCTCCATCTTCCTTGACAGTTCGACCTGTCGTCCCACGTGTGCTGGCACGTGTACGGGCTGCTGTACCGGTCGGACCGGGAGTATCGAGACGCCATTAAGTGCTACCTCAACGCCCTGCGCATCGACCCCAACAACCAGCAGATCCTCAAAGACCTCTCGCTGCTGCAGGTGCGCCCACCCGCTGCTGCAGGTGACTCACAGTAAACACATGCGTGCATGGATGCATTTTCAGGTGCATTCTGTGTTTCCAGGCCCTTTTCAAATAGCTGGCGGACGTTTGTTAGGATTCTCACATCCACCCTGCAATTTCCGAACGCAGGTGCAAATGCGGGACACGGCGGGGTTTGTGGAGTCACGGCGGCAGCTGCTGACCTTCAAGCCCAACCACCGCGCCAACTGGATCGCCTTTGCTGTCGCCAACCACATCAACGGCAGGTGAGGTGGTGACAGGTGGGTGGGTGATGTGCGTGCGTGGTGTGGCTTGCGGGATGGTGGTGCGGGCGGGCGAGCGGGTGGGTGGGTCATTGACTGGCAGCTGCTGACCTTCAAGCCCAACCACCGTGCCAACTGGATCGCCTTTGCTGTCGCCAACCACATCAACAACAGGTGGGCTTAATGTGCTGTGGGTTTCGTGACAGTGTTAATGTGCAGTGGGGCTAATATTGTGGTGGGGTCATTCACAGGTGGGGTGTTGACCTTCACGCCCAACCACTGCGCCATCTGGCTCAGCTTCGCTGTCACCGCACTCGTGACGCATCCCACCGCACATCGTCGCATCCCACCATACTTTACTGCACTCCATCCCACCGTGCAGGCTGGACGTGGCGTCTCAGATCCTGTCAGCCTATGAGGGCACTCTGGAGGACGAGTCTCCTCCGGACGGGGAGAAGTACGAGCACAGCGAGATGCTGCTTTATAAGGTAACCTTGCCATAATGGGAAATTTTGGCATACGGTTCCACTGTTTTATGCAACTTTGTCCAGACAAGGATAATCTTGCGTGCAGCAAGACCGAGACGTTGTTTTCTGAAGGTTGAGGATGCCACAAAATGATAGCGGTTCTAGTGCGTGCTGCTTCCCAGCCTTCAGCACAAAAGTCTGGGCTCTCGATGGTTTGGTCTCTCAATCAGTGAAGCACCTGTGCTGAGCTTTTTTAGGGGTTTGGTTGGATGGGAGCACACGCACGCCTCCTTGAAGCACGAGGCTCGCTTTCCCGCTGCAAGATCTTCTGTCGTCTACCAACTCGTTTGCACCAACAGGATGTTCCGCTGCCTCCATTCCGTCCCGCTTGTTTTGAGACGTCTCAAAACACTTCTTTTTCCACGTGGCTGCAAGATCTTCTGTCGTCTACCAACTCGTTTGCACCAACAGGATGTTCCGCTGCCTCCATTCCGTCCCGCTTGTCCTGCTTCAGGTGTCACTGCTGGCAGAAGCAGGCAAGCACGCGGAGGCCTTGGAGGAGCTGGGCAAGAAGCAGCGCCACATCGTGAGTGGATGAAAGGGGTGAAGGGAGTGAAGGGGGATGCAGTGTACGTTCAGTGAGTAGTGGAGTGAGAGAGTGTGAGGTGTCGCTGCTGGCGGAAGCAGGCAAGCACGCGGAGGCCCTGGAGGAGCTGGGCAAGAAGCAGCACCACATCGTGAGTGGAGGGGGTCAAGGGGGTGAAGGGGTTCAAGTCAAGACTCAAGGGGTTCAAGGGATGCAGGATGTGTGGCTGGGATGGTAGGGGAAGTTTGGGGACTTGGGCGGAGCATTCTGAGTGAGAGTGTGAGCATCTCACTTACCTCTTTGGCGTCCCTCACTCACCACCTTGTAAAGCTTCTCTCTGGTTGCGTTCATGGAAGTCAGTCTAGTCAATACAGAACGTTTTTGAGGCGCCTCAAAAACGACCTTTGGCGTCCCTCACTCACCACCTCAGTCGTCCCATAAAGCGACTCTCTGGTTGCGTTCATGGAAGTCAGTCTAGTCAATTCAGGAATGTCTTCCATCCGTGTGTTAACTGACAAGCTGGGAGTGAGGGAGCAGAGGGCGGAGCTGCTGCACCTGACAGGCTGTCTTGAGGAGGCTAGAAGCGAGTACGAGGCGCTTTTGGCTAAACGTTTGACCTTTCTCCATCCCTGCCTCATCTGTGTGTTCCCCTCCCCCGCAGGTGGACAAGCTGGGAGTGAGGGAGCACCGGGCGGAGCTGCTGCACCTTACAGGGCGTAGCGAGGAGGCTAGAAGCGAGTACGAAGCTCTGCTGGCCATCAACCCGGACAACTACAAGCACTACGAGGGGCTGCAGGCGTGCATGGGGCTGAAAGCGAGTGCTGCGGATGGCAGTTATACGCCGGAGCAGCTGGCGCAGCTAACGGAGCTGTTCAAAGGGCTGCAGGAGAAATACCCCAAGTCCGCTGCTGCTAAGGTGAGACGCAGACTGCTAAAGTGAGAAAGTGGTCTTGCAGCAAGGGTGGGAGCTTGTTTCTGCTCTGATCCCACTTAATTAACAAGAGGTCCTCCCCCTCCGTGCTGCGCTCACTCACTCACTCACTTCCGCTAGAGAGTACCTCTGTAAATGCAACTCGGCCTTGCATCCTCGGGTCACCGACTGGTGACTGGCGACTGGTGACTGGCGACTTGTGACTGGCGACTGGTGACTGGCGACTGGTGACTAGCGACTGGTGACTGGCGACTGGTGACTGGCGACTGGTGACTAGCGACTGGTGACTGGCGACTGGTGACTGGCGACTGGTGACTGGCGACTGGCGACTGGCGACTGGTGACTGGCGACTGGTGACTGGCGACTGGTGACTGGCGACTGGCGACTGGCGACTGGTGACTGGCGACTGGTGACTGGCGACTGGTGACTTGCGACTGGGTGTTTTCCACTTATCCCTTCTCAACTCAAGTTCCCTTCCCCTTCTGTGCCGCTCTCACCTTTCACCAGAGAATACCGCTGGACTTTCTCCAAGGGGCAGACTTCGAGGCAGCCTTGCAGCCACACGTGAGGCGGTTCATCCGCAAGGGCATCCCCTCGCTCTTCTCCGACCTTGAACCGCTCTACGACCAGCCAGGCAAGGTGAGCAGAGAGAGAGGCAAGGTGGGCAGAGGGAGAGGCAAGGTGGGCAGAGGGAGAGGCAAGGTGGGCAGAGGGAGAGGCAAGGTGGGCAGAGGGAGAGGCAAGGTGGGCAGAGGGAGAGGCAAGGTGGGCAGAGGGAGAGGCAAGGCAAGGAGGCGGGCTTTTGAGTTGACTCATACGTGAGGCGGTTTACTCGCAAGGGCATCCCCTCCCTCTTCTCCGTCCTTGAACCTCTCTACGACCAGCCAGGCAAGGTGAGCAGAGAGAGAGGCAAGGTGAGCAGAGAGGCAAGGTGAGAAGAGAGGCAAGGTGAGCAGAGAGGCAAGGTGGGGAGGGCGGTTTCTGAGTTGACTCAGACGTGAGGCAGTTTATCCGCAAGGGCATCCCCTCGCTCTTCTCCGATCTTGAACCGCTCTACGACCAGCCAGGCAAGGTGAGCAGAGAGGTGGGGAGAGAGGTCAAAGTGACGTGATGACTTGGGAGTCAATGCAACGGCATCCCCTCCCTTTTCTCCAACCGCGAACCTCTCTACAACCAGCCAGGCAAGGCGAGGATGAGAAATGTGAAGGAATGGGTTATGAATCAGTCTGCAAGCAATGGTGGGAAGGTGACTCTTGAGTCGATGCAACAGCATCCCCTCCCTTTTCTCCGACCGAACCTCTCTACAACCAGCCAGGCTGACATCATGGGCCGTGTGTTCTCAGCCATGCTCCGCTCCACTCTGTCCGCTCTTACAGCATGATTCCCCTTCTCATGCTCTCTCGTCACCCGCCTTCCTTTCATGTTCCTGCATGGCAATCAATCCTCGACGCACAGCTGGCCATCATAGACCGTGTCTTCACAGCCATGCTCCACTCCACTCCACCCCATCGACCCGCCAGCATGATTCCCATTCTCATGCTCTCGAGACACGCGCCTTCCTTCCCCGTTCCCCCGTGCACCCCCCACCCCACAGGTGGCCATCATGGGCCATGTCTTTACAGCCGTGCCCCACTCCATCGCTCCTTCATCAGAATTCGCATTCTCATGTTCTCAATTCTCCCTCTGATTTTCCAGTGCTCGAAACCCATTGCACCCCTTGTCGCACAGGTGGACATGATGGGTTGTGTCTTCACAGCCATGCCCCACCCATTCGGTGTTCTCCTTTCTCCCTCCTATTTTCCACTGCTCCAAACCCCATTGCACCCCTCCGGACCGCACAGGCGGACATCATGGACAAGGTCTTCACAGCCATGCTCCACTCCATTCGCTCCTCCGGAAAATTCCCTCCTCTCAGGTGCCCTCCTCTCAGGTGCCCTCCTCTCAGGTGCCCTCCTCTCAGGTGCCCTCCTCTCAGGTGCCCTCCTCTCAGGTTCCCTCCTCTCAGGTGCCCTCCTCTCAGGTTCCCTCCTCTCAGGTGCCCTCCTCTCAGGTGCCCTCCTCTCAGGTGCCCTCCTCTCAGGTGCCCTCCTCTCAGGTTCCCCTCCTCAGGTGCCCTCCTCTCAGGTGCCCTCCTCTCAGGTGCCCTCCTCTCAGGTGCTCTCCTCTCAGGTGCTCTCTCTAGCGCTCTAGGGCTCAGCTCCGCCTCTCTACGTTCTACCCATTTATCCAAGCTTGCTTATACCCATGGACGTCAGCCCATTTTCCTGATATTTGTGGCAGCTTTCCTTTTTGCCGCCAGCTTGCTGCTCACCTCATGTTTGATCATTCTCAAACGTTTCTGGGTGGATGGGTGTATGTCTGGTTCCAAATGGAAGTGGAACCAGCCAGGTATGTTCTACGCCCCACATTTGATCTCTTCGTCACTAGACAGCTGTCTTTTTTCAGTTAGATAGAGGATTCGCCAGTTGATTTCCCCGGCCTACGCACTCCAAATGTTTTCCTTGCACACGTGGGTTCATATCTTGTTTGCTTCTGTGATTCTGTTCTCTGCCGCCCGTCCCATCCCTTGTCCATCCCTCCAGTGACTCGTCAGCAGAAGAGGACAAAGAAAACCCCTCTGTGCTTCTCTGGCTGCTGTATCTTATGGCTCAGGTACAGGGTTGAGGGTTTAGGATTCCCCTGTGTGGCTCTTGAATACGTCAAATTAGTTGACGTCAGAAGAGGACAAAGAAAACCCCTCTGTGCTTCTATGTACGCATACATCCCCCTATGTGGCTCTTGAATACGTCAAATTAGTTGACTTCAATTTATTTCCTGCTGGTGGAGTGGAGCTATATCTAAATGATTCAGGCATAGTTTTGATTGAGGCGCCTCAAATCTAGACTTTTCTGCTGGTGGAGCTATATCTGTATGATTCAGGCATTCACTGCTGGTGGAGCTATATCTCCGTTATGTCTTTCCCTCTTTCTCTGTCTCTCGCTCTGCCCTGATTCGCAGCATCTGGACAGGAGGGGCAAGGTGGAGGAGGCATTGGCGATCGTAGACGAGGCGATTGCTCACACGCCCACACTCATGGATGCCTACCTGGTCAAGGTGGGTGGGTGGGTGGGCGGGCGGGCGGGCAGGCGGGCGGGTGGGTGGGTGGGTGGGTGGGTGGGTGGGCACTAGTCGTACCAAGGTGCGCACGAGTCTGCCTTGGTGTACCATATACAGCAAAGGGCAGTGGGCATGATATGATATCCCAAACCCCTCCCTTATTCCCCTCCCTTTCCCCTCCCCCCCTCCCCCCCCCCCCGCCCGTCTTTTCTTTCTGTCTACCACCAAGCGCGCATCCTGGTGACTTCACAAGGCGGATTCTCTTTCTGTCTAGTCGACCACCAGGCAGGTGACTTCACAGCAGCAGCGCAGCTGAGAGGTGTATTTTGAGGCGCCTCAAAATACACCTCACTTTTCTTTCTGTCGACCACCAGGCGGGTGACTTGATAGCAGCAGTGCAGCTGCCAATCCCCCAGAGCCCCACCCCCCTGCCTTCTCCTCTTCCCCTCAACCCCCTCCCCTCCCCCTCTCTCTTTTCTCTTTCTCTTCCGCTTTACGACCAGGCGCGTATTCTGGACAGGGCGGGGGACTTCACAGCAGCAGCGCGGCTGGCAGACGAGGCAAGGAGCTTGGACCTGGCGGACAGATACCTCAACTCGGAGGCCGTCAGGCACATGCTCAGGGCCGACCAGGTGGAGTTGGGTGGTGGGGCTGGGTGGTGTGGTTGGTTGGTGCTCTTGGGTGGTATGGCCTGTTTGAGTAGTGAGACTTGAAAAGCGCCCGGTAGTATGGAGGGAGACAAGGCGAGATGCTTGGATCGGATCCGGCTGACAGGTACCAAGCTGCTCAGATCAGAAGCGAAGCAGTCTCTGCTAAGCTGCTCACCTTTGATACCTGATCCAGCTGACAGATACCTGATCCAGCTGACAGATACCTGATCCAGCTCACAGATACCTGATCCAGCTGACAGATACCTGATCCAGCTCACAGATACCTGATCCAGCTGACAGATACCTGATCCAGCTGACAGATACCTGATCCAGCTCACAGATACCTGATCCAGCTCACAGATACCTGATCCAGCTCACAGATACCTGATCCAGCTCACAGATACCTGATCCAGCTCACAGATACCTGATCCAGCTCACAGATACCTGATCCAGCTCACAGATACCTCAACTCAGAAGCGAAGCGGTCAGGCATTTGCTCAGGCCTGACCAGGTAGGGATGGAAGGCAGCAGAAGGGGGGCGACCCAGAATGCATGAGGTATGGTAATCAGGGAGGAGAGGAGAGTGTTTGGGTGTGGCTGAGATACAAGTCAAACGCTTCTGCTCGTGTGCTTGCTCATCTCTCCCTCCCCCTGTCCTCGGTCATGCGCCCGTGTGTATCTCGACTCGACTTTTGGGTCGACTCAAAAGTCACCCCATGTGTATCTCGACTCGAACTTCATCCGTGTGTTCCCCCCTCCCCCTCCTCCTATCTGGGTGCGTGTGTATGGGTTCAGGTGGATCTAGCAGAGAAAACAGCAGCGCTCTTCACCAAGCACGGCGACCAGCATGAGAACCTCTTCGACATGCAGTGCATGTGGTGGGTGCATTGCGGTGCATGTGGGTGCAGTGCGGTGCATGTGGGTGCAATACGGTGCATGCGGGTGCATGCAATGCATATGATGAATGTGATGTGATGGTTGTAACGCATCCCAACCACCCACCCTCCGTCCCCCATCCCATGGCACCGCCACCGCTCCGCACAGGTACAACCTGGCGGGTGGCTGTCTCCACGTACTTCGATGCCCGACTTTTACCTGCAGCAGAGCAACTTCAGCCGGGCATCGAAGAACGTCAGAAGCTACATGTGTTTTGGAACCTCAACATAACCGCATCCCACCCCATCCCATCCCATCCCATCACATCTCACCCCACTGCTGTGTGCGTGCAGGTACGAGCTGGCGGGTGGAGACAGCTACCTGCGGCAGAAGAACTACGGGCGGGCCTTGAAGAACTACCTCTCAGTGCACAAGCACTACAATGACATGGTCAGTGCGGTGGTTCAATGAGCCGTTTCAGATGTCACACGGTCAGTGTGGTGGTTAACAGGTCACATGCTGCAAGCACCGGGCCTTGAAGAACTACCTCTCAGTACACAAGCACTACAATGACATGGTGAGTGTCGCTGGAGCATGGGTGCCGTCTTGCATGCTGCATGGTTCAAGCACCCACGACAAGCACAGGGCCTTGAAGAACTACCTCTCAGTGCACAAGCACTATAATGACATGGTCAGTTCAGCGTTCGGCGTGTCACATGGTGAGTGTGCCTTTGAGGTGTGATGGTAAAGAGCTACCTGGCAGTGCACAAGCACTACAACAACATGGTCAGTGCGGCGTTTGGCGTTTGGCATGTGATATGGTGAGTGTGCCTTTTAGGTGTGATGGTAAGGAGCCACCTGGCTGGCAGTGCACAAGCACTACACCAACATGGTCAGTGCGGCGTTTGGCACATCACATACATGGTCAGTGCGGCGTTTGGCACATCACATACATGGTCAGCAGCGCGTTGTTTGGCATGGCATGGCATGTCACATGGCTGGCCAGTAATGTGCGCCAGTGCATGCGTCTCACTCTCAGGGTCCTCTGCGTGGAGGTCTGTCTGTCTGTCTGCTCTGCTGCCCTGCTCTGCTGCCCTGCTCTGCTGCCTTGCTCTGACTACCATTCCTTCCACCCCTCTCCCCACTCCCCCCCCGTCTCCCCCCGGCAGATCGAGGATCATTTCGACTTCCACACCTACTGTCTGCGCAAGATGACCCTCAGGGCCTACGTGGCCACCCTCCGCTGGGAGGACCATCTTCACGCCTCGCCCTTCTTCTGCCAGGGCGCCGTGGGCGCCGTGGGAGCTGTGCGGTACCATGCGGTGCTGTCTGGTGCTGCAACTCCCCTCGCTTTCTCTCACCATCCGCCACCCACCCGCTTCCTTTCCTTTTCTCACATCTCCCCCCGGCAGATCGAGGATCAGTTCGACTTCCACACCTACTGTCTGCGCAAGATGACCCTCAGGGCCTACGTCGCCACTCTCCGCTGGGAGGACCATCTTCACGCCTCGCCCTTCTTCTGCCAGGGCGCCGTGGGCGCTGTGCGGTGCTATGTGGCTCTGCATGACCGGCCGGTGGTGAGGGAGGAGGCGAAGGAGGAGGACAAGGCCAAGATGAGCGGGGCGGAGCGGAAGAGACTGCAGAAGGAGCAACGGAGGAAGAAGGTGAGTGAGCGAACGGGTGTGTTCGGGAAGGAAGGGTTGGGGCAGGTGGGAAGGTGAGAGATTGAAGAAGGAGCAGTGGGAGGGGGGAAGAGCCATGTTGACCTGTGCTGCTCAACCTCCCCTGTATTCTCCATTGCTCTTTTTTGAAATACCTTTTCCACCCCTGCCCTCCTGTGTGCATTGCTCTGTGCTCTCTTGTTTCCCGTTTGGGTAAGCAGGAGGAAGAGGAGGCAGCAGCAGCTGCTGCAGCGGCGGCAGCGGCAGCAGCAGCCAAGGCAGCCAAGAAGGGAGGTTCGGCCAAGCCTGTCGATGCCGACCCTGATGGGGTGAAGCTCACTGAGGTGCGTGCTTTTGCCTGAACGATACGGTGCTATGCGGTGCTGTGCATGTGTGTGCATGTGTGTGCATGTGTGTGCATGTGTGTGCATGTGTGTGCATGTGCTTTCTGTGATTGCTGACCATCATCCATGTGTTGCTGTGCATGCATGAATGCATGCATGCATCAGTGTGACATGCATGAATCAAAGCACCTTTCGCTGCTGCTGCTGCTGCTACAGCACGTGGGGGGGTAACCTTTGTACTGACAATATGTCAAAACACCACTACTTCCATTCGCGCAGGTGGAGGACAAGCTAGCAGAGGCCTCCAGGCACCTCTCGCTGCTGCTGCAGCACGCCAGCTCGGACCTACCTTTCAGTCCACTCAAATCTCACCACACCACCACCTTTTCTTCCCAAAGAGGTGACTTTTGATCCGACTCAAAAGTCATCTCACCACACCACCACGTTTTCATCCCACACCTCGTTCAGGTGGAGGACAAGCCAGCAGAGGTGTCAAGCACCTCTCACTGCTGCTGCAGCCGGCCCGGAGCTACTGTTTGAGTCAACTTGTATCACTTCTGACCACGTGTCTGTGTGAACTCATTCCTCCCACACCTCGTGCAGGTGGAGGACAAGCTAGCAGAGGCCTCCAAGCACCTCTTCTTGCTGGTGCAGCACGCCGGCTCGGAGCTGATCTTTACAGTCAGACTAAGATAAGCTCAATACACCATTACTCCCACCCACACCTCGTTCAGGTGGAGGACAAGCTAGCAGAGGCCTCCAAGCACCTTTCTCTGCTGCTGCAGCACACCGTGAGATGACCTTGGAGCATCGGATAAAAAGTGTGTCTACACACTTTGATTCCCATTTGCGCAGGTGGAGGACAAGCTAGCAGAGGCCTCCAAGCACCTCTCGCTGCTGCTGCAGCATGCCGGATCGGAGCTCTCGTCGCTGCAAGTGGCGTTTGATGTGTTCTCGCGGAAAAAGAAGCTCCTGCTGTGCCTGCAGGTGAGTCTTGGCCTGCGACGGAAGAATTGTCATTGTCTTACTCACATGCCTTGTGTCCTGAGGGTCCCAACGTGCTCCCTCACTTGCTCCCTCACTTACTCGCTCACTTGCTCGCTCACTCCCACTCACTCTCACTCACTCACTCACTCACTCACTCACTCGCTCGCTCACAATGTCACTTCCATCCTCCTCTGTCTCGTCGCGCTCTCCTCTGTGCCTCAGGTGGTGCGGCGGTTGCTCAAAGAACATCCACATGCACCCCTTACACACTCGTGCCTGGTACGTATGTGTGTGCATGTGTGTGTGCATGTGTGTGTGCATGTGTGTGTGCATGTGTGTGTGCATGTGTGTGTGCATGTGTGCGTGTATGTGTGTGTGGATGTGTGCGTGCATGCGTGTGTGTGTGTGTGTGTGGATGTGTGCGTACGTGCATGTGTGCGTGTGTGTGTGTGTGGATGTGTGCGTACGTGCATGTGTGCATGTGCATGCATACATCCACATGCACCCCTTACACACTCTTGCCTGGTACGTATGTGTGTGTGCTTGCATGTGTGCATACATGTGTGCATACATGTGTGCATACATGTGTGCATACATGTGTGCATACATGTGTGCATGCATGCGTGCGTGCATGTGTGCTTGCAAGATGCACATGCGCCCATCACCCTCTCCTGCCTGGTATGTGTGTCACTTCCCCTCCACCCCATCCCATCCAACCCATCCCTGCTTCACGACCGCATCCACCCCATCCAACCCATCCCAACCCCACCCCAACCACCACAGGTTCGGTTCTTCCTCACAGTGCGTGACCTTCCCCCGGCAGAATCAGAATCAGATAAAATCGTCCGCGCAGTCATCGAAGCTGAGAGGGCTGATCTGGGGTGGGTGGCACAAGGGGAACCAGGGGGGTAGGGGGGTATTGGTGGGGGTATGGGGGGCAATGGTGAGGGCGAGAGTGCTCGTTCATTGGGTCGTTGTGGGGGTCCGGACGTGTGCGTCAGTGTGAGTGCTCTTTCCTCGTGTGCTTGCTTGCCCTTTTTTTTTTTTTTTTTCAAACGCATTTACCTTCTCTTCCCCTGCCCTTTCTGCCCCCTCCCGCCCCTCCTCGTCCTCCCACCCACTCCTACCCCTTCTACCCACTCGTACCCACTCCTGCTCCTGCCTACCCCCCCAGTATATCTGAAAACCTGTCAGCAAGCTTGCAAGAATGCAACGAGGCCTTTTTGGAGGCACACAGAGGTGCGAAGCTGCTGTTACTCTCCCTTGTGTATCTTTCCGGACGTCTCCCGTCTGCTCTGTCTCCTGGCTTGGGTTCTCGATTGTCCCTGCTTCTCCCCCTTCCCTTTCTTCGCTCCCTCTCTCCACCCCTCCATTCCAGTCTCATGATCATGCTGTGTTCTGTTGGACACTCCGTCAGTGCACCACCATACCACCACCATACCATCACAATGTCGTGTGACGATTTTTGAGGCACCGAAGAAATACACCATCATGCCACCACCATACCATCAATATGTCATGTCCCACCCCATAGCACCCCATCTCCTCTCGTGTCACCATCAATCCATCTCCATGCCTCCCCATCCACCCCAACGCCACCACCATGCCATGCGAGCAGATAGCTTGGCGCACAGGGCAGCAGCAGCGGAGGCCATGGCCATGCTGGATCCCTCCCTCAAGGCGCGCGCCACTGCCGTCATCCACGACTCGCAAGAGCCCCTGGCGAAGAGGTAAGGCCTAGAGTGCATTTCAGCAGGCAAGCAGGGATCATCCGGTATGCGCCTTTCTCAACCACAGACAGGGCAGCAGCAGCGGAGGCCATGGCCATGCTGGACCCCTCCCTCAAGGCGCACGCCACTGCCGTCATCCACGACTCTCAAGAGCCGCTCGCCACAAGGTAGGTCCTACAGTGCAGCCTACCGGTTCATTATATATACAGGGGCCTCACAGACAGGGCAGCAGCAGCGGAGGCCATGGCCATGCTGGACCCCAAGTCTCAAGGCGCGGGCTCTCTCTGTCAAGACCTCATCCACGACTTGCAAGAGCCCCTCACCACAAGGTACGGTCTACATTGCATTGCCTTACTCCCATACCTCATTCCCATACATCACTGCCGTACCCCTCTCCCATACCTCGCTCCCATACCTCACTCCCATACCTCACTCCCATGCCTCTTTCCCATACGCCGCTCCCATACCTCAACCAGTGCATGGCTTTTGAGGCGCTTCAAAAGGCGCACTTGTGACACTCTTCAGCTCCTCTCCCCTCCTGCCCCCTCCTCCCCCCTCCTGCCCCTTCCTCCCCCCTCCTGCCCCCTCCCTCCGTCTCCCTCCTCCCTTGCTGTTACGTCCAGTGGCGGAGCATTGGTGAAGGGAGTGGGAGAGTGGTCCCTAGACCAGTGAACGACTTTTGAGGCGCCCCAAAAGGCGCGTGTGTGACCTCTTGAATCCCCCACCCTCCCCACTCCCTCCTTCCTTCCTCTCCCTTCCTCTCGTGCTGTTGTCACCTCCAGTGGCGGAGCATTGGCGGAGGGAGTGGGCGAGTGGTCCCTAGACAAGTGCACAGCTTTTGAGGCACCTCAAATTCGCGTGTGTAACCTCGTGAATCCCCCTCAATCCTTCATTTTCCCCTCCTGTTGCCTTTAGTGGCGGAGCATTGGCGGAGGGAGTGGGCGAGTGGTCCCTAGACCAGTGCACGGCGGTGCATCGGCTGCTGCAGGAAGGCCCTCTTGCTGATGAGGCGGCTGCACAAAGTGAGTTGTGAATTATCTCGGAGAGTTTAGTAAGCTTGTCATAATGTGTGTTGTTTCGAGTGCACTGCAATGCATCGACAGTTGCATTACGGCCTTTCGGCCGATGACTGGTGTGCAGAGCGATTTCCCTACTCGCAGCAATTTGAGGGGAAATGCTTGAGTCAACTCTAAGATCTCTCAACACCCCTCATCCCCAACACCCAGGATGGAACGACCGGTGTGCGGAGCGATTTCCCTACTCGCAGCATTTCGAGGGCAGCAAGAGCTCCGCGAAAGCACCACCACCGGTGGCTGATGGCGGTGATGAGGACGGGGAGGAGGGCAGTGCTGCTGGTGCTGCTGCTGGGGAGAACGGGGTGGTGGAGTAGGGTGTGGAGTGGTGGAGTAGGTAGGGTGTGGAGTGGTGCAGTTCTCTACTTGCAGCGCTTTGAGGGGAGTAAGAGCTCTGTGAAAGCACCACCACCGGTGCTGATTGGGGGGCGGAGGACGGGGAGGAGGAGAGCGCTGCTGCTGGCGCTGCTGCCAGGGATAACGGAGTGGTGGGGTATGGTCTGTGGTGGTGGATTAGGGTGTGCGGTGGTGGAGTATGTCTCCAACGCTAAAATGATGGGTTGTTGTAACAGCCTTTCCAGCGTAGGTTGGCTGGTGGTGTAGGAATGAGATCGACATGCCAAAAATCAATAAAATAATTGGCATGATGTGTGGCGTGGTGTCATTCGTACACCGTTTCACCTCAAAACGTTACGATTCCAGCCCAGTTGTTACTTCTTCCCTTATCGCTGCCAGTGCACATGCACCACAGCAAACACGAATTAGAACCCATGGTGCCAGCCCCTCAGGAGTCAACGAAAAAAGGCTGATTAGGGGTAAAAAGGCCGTGATTTCAGTGGTGGGGGAATAGAGGGGCTATTGTGGCAGCCTTCTTTTAAGTGTGTTTGCTGAAAGTTCAGGTTTTTTTTTTATCTTTCTGTGCTGAATGTTGTATGGGGGTCTGTCAAATGTTGTAGCCTGTAGCGAGGCTTGTCTAAGGGGGTACAAATATTAGGGTTTGCTATATGTACCCCAACCCACATCAATGAACACACAATTCAGTTTCTGACATTGTATCACCTATGTTAGGATCCTATAGGATCCCGTTCCTCTTGCCCGAGCCTCACGCTCCTCACCCGTCCCGTCTTGCCTCGTAACGCTGCAGTTGCGCCCCTTTCGTACGCCCGTCCGCCGCGCGCCTGCAATCACGCTTGCTGCAGCGCGTTCTGCCCGTTCTCGCGCCCGTCCCCGCGCGTCTCGCCTTGCTGCAGCCCGCGCGTCGCGCCCTGCTGCAGCCCGCGCGCCGCGCACTCCTGCAGCCTGCGCGCCGCGCCCTGCTGCCCGCGCGTCGCGCTCTGCTGCAGCCCGCGCGTCGCGCCCTGCTGCCCTGCACAGCGCGCGCCCTGCTGCCCGCGCCGCCCAGCACGAGCCGCCCTGCCCAACCCGATCCAGCCTGCTACTGCTACTACTTGTGGAGGTACTGCTAGGAGTACTGGAGGTGCTGCAGCCTAGCCTCGCCGAGCCGCTCTACTGCTCTTACTGCTACTGCTGCTACTCGTGCTACTGCCTTCACTCCGTACTGCCCTAGATGTCACGCTCCTCCTAGATTGCCCGCCATGACTTCACTTAGCAGCAGCAGTGGGAGTGGTGCTGGCGGTGGTGGCAGCAGTGGGAGTGGTGGCGACCGTAGTAGCAATCACTGTAGCGCTATTCGGTGCGGAGTTTCTGGCGGTGGACAGATGCAGCTACAGCGGCGTCCGACCCTTACGCCCCAGCAGCTTCGTGAGTGGCTTTACCAGCGTGGGACGTCTCCGAGTCCTGGTCGCTACCCGTACGTCATTCGCACAGGTCGTCGAGCTGGTCAGACCTGTGGGACAGCTGGTCACCCACAGTCCCGCTGCTTCTCTTATTTAAGTGACGCCTGGCACGCAGAGTTTGGAGACGAGGCTGAGATCCCCCACTGGCTTGAGCTGCTTAGGTCGGGCGTTGATGTCTTTGCTTTAGACCATGATGCCATCTTTACTGTATGCTTTGCCTGGTGGTGCTGAGGGCGATTGTTACCTGTGTGTGAAGCACGACCCCAGTATAGAGGTTACTGCTCTAGGCGCTAGTGATGCTACTGCCTTAGGTGCTAGAGAGTCTGCTCTCTCAGGTACTGCGCCTACTGAGGCCTTGCACACCTTCACGCTTGACTCAGGTGCTTCCCGCTGTTTCTTTTGCGACAGTACCGCACTCACGCCACTTCCTGCACCTGTTGCAGTGTCTCTGGCTGACCCCTTAGGGGGCCCACTTCTGGCACGGTCCACCACTGTGCTCTCGTGCCCGGCGGTTCCGTCTGGCTCACTGACAGGCCTCCACCTCCCCTCGTTCTCTACGAACTTGGTGAGCAATGCAGTTCTCCAGGACTAGTGGGTTGACACCTTTACCCTTGGAGGACAGCGTGTGGCGATCTATACGTGCTCCCGGATTGGCCGCCACCTAGCCACGCTTACCCGTCGGCCAAGGTCGAGTCTTTACACACTAACGACTGCGCCTCCTCAGGTAGCTGCTACTGGTCAGGTGTCTGCGTCAGGTCAGGTAGCCTCCCCTTGTGAGTGTCGCTCCCTGTCGCACCAGACTCTTCTCTGGCACCACCGTCTGGGTCACCCCTCCTTGCCACTTCTACGTGACATGCACCGTCGCCTCCTTGTGTCTGGTCTTCTCCGGTCTCTCCCTCCCCTCCCTGACTCGCCTGCGCCGCCCTGCCTTCCTTGTGTCAAAGGGCGGCAGCGCGCCGCTCCTCACTCCTCGTTTCCCCCCAGAGAGGCTCCCCTTCAGACCCTCCACATGGACGTGTGGGGCCCAGCCCACGTTCGTGGACTGGACGGCGAGCGGTACTTTCTGTTGGTTGTCGACGACTACTCGCGTTACACCACGGTCTTCCCCTTGCGCACCAAGGGTGAGGTCCCTGCTTTCCTGATCCTTTATATCCGAGCAGTTCGTCTCCAGCTCCGCCGCAGGTTTCGCCAGGACCTCCCTGTCCTGCGTCTCCACTCTGACAGAGGTGGTGAGTTCTCCTCCGACCTCTTGCGGGCCTTCTGTTTAGGGGAGGGCATCCTCCAGTCGTTCACGCTCTCGGGCTACCCGCAGCAAAATGGGGTTGCTGAGCGCCGCATTGGCTTGGTCATGGAGATCGCTCGTACCTCCTTGATCCATGCGGCGGCTCCCCATTTTCTGTGGCCGTTTGCGGTCCGGTACGCCGCGTAGCAGCTCAACCTCTGGCCCCTTGTCTCCTTGCCGGAGACCTCGCCAACACTGCGTTGGACGGGAGAGGTTGGCGATGCATCGCGTTTCCAAGTCGGGGGTGCTCATGCCCTTGTCTGCGATACGTCCGCGGACAAGCTCTCCTCCCGCACCATTCCCTGTGTCTTCCTTGGCTTTGTCCCTGACGCGCTTGGCTGGCAGTTTTACCACCCCACCTCATGCCGTGTCTTCTCGTCTCAGGACGTCACCTTTGACGAGTCGGTTCCTTTCTACTGTCTCTTCCCCTACCGCACTGCCCCTCTCCCTCCCCCGCCGCTTTTCCTTGCTCCAGGTCCCCCTCCGGTAGACCCCCTCCCCCCTCAGGGTCCTGCCCCTTCAGAAGTGTCTCAGGTAGACCCACTCCCCTTGGCTGAGCTTGTAGAGGTCACTAGCGACTCAGGTGCTGCTGTGGGTGGTGCTGCTCAGGGTATTGCGTCTGGGGGTGCTGAGCCTGCGCGTGAGGTGCTGGGGGGTGCGGAGCCTGGGGGTGGTGAGCTTACGTGTGTGGAGCCTGGGGGTGCTGAGCCGGAGAGTGCTGAGTTTGGGGGTCTCTCTTCACGACGGGGTCCTCTCTCACCACACCAGCTACGAGAGTGGCTGGCGTGGCATACCCGCCTGAGGAGTCGTGCTGCTGGTGCTGGAGGTACTGCTACTCGAGGTGCTGCGGTTGGAGCCGCTGGAGCTGCTCGTCGTGGAGGCGCTGGGGGTGTTGGCGCTGAGGGTCCTGGAGGTGCTCGTACCGGAGGTACTTGAGCTGCCGGGGTCCGTGGTGCTGGAGGCATCGGAGCTGGAGACCCGCGCGTTGGAGTTCGAGACCTTGGAGCTGGAGGTGCTGGCCCAGGGGGTACTCAGTCTGTTGGTGCTGAGCCTAGGGGTGCTGAGTCTGCTGGAGGTCCTCCTGGTGCCGCGTTGCAGCGGTCACCTCTCTCGCCGCGGCAGCTGTGCGAGTGGCTTGCTTCGTGCACCCGCCTTCGGAGTCGCGCTGCCGGAGCTGGAGGCACTGGAGCTGGAGGCGCTGGAGCTGGAGACCCCGGGGCTGGAGGTGCGAGTTCTGGGGGTACTGCTGCTGGAGACACTGGAGCTGGGGGGCCTGGAGCTGGTGCTGTCGACCCTGGAGTTGGAGACCCTGGAGCTGGAAGTGCCGGATCTGGGGGTGCTACTGCTGGGGGCACTGGAGCTGGAGGCTCTGGAGCTGGTGTTGTCGACCTTGGAGTTGGAGACCCTAGAGCTAGAGGTGCCGGTTCTGGGGGTGCTGCTGCTGGAGGCCCTAGAGCTAGAGGCTCTGGAGCTGGTCCTGTCGACCCTGGAGTAGGAGACACCGGTTCCAGGGGTGCTGCTGTTGGAGGCCCTGGGGCTGGAGGTTCTGGAGCTGCTGGAGGAGCTGGTGCTGCTGGTGCTCGCCCTGGAGGTGCTGGAGCTGCCGGGGCTGGTGGTGCTGCGGGCTTTGGAGCTGGAGGCACTGGCGCTGGAGGCGCTGGAGCTGGAGACCCTGGAGCTGGAGGTACTAGAGCTGGAGGCGCTGGAGCTAGAAGCGCTAGAGCTGGAGGTTATGCTGCTGCTGGAGGTGCTGGTGCTGGTGGTACTGGTGCTGGTGGTACTGCACAGCCGCGACTTTTCTTCGCTTCGCCGTCACTGTCGTCTCTGCCACCACCTGACTCCGTGCTTCGCCAGGTTCTTAGCCTCCCGTCTTCTACTGGCCTCCCGTTACAGCCATGCTCTCCGCTCCCTGCTCCTTCTCCTTATACTGAGCAGACAGACTTGCTTACAGAGCGTCGTGAGCCTGCGTCTCGTCCTGCCTCACCTGTTCGCGCTGGTCGCACTGGTCGTCGTATTCCTTGTGAGCATCCTCCTCCTGTCCCCTGCACGCACACTATGGCACTTCGTCCTTCCTCTGTTCCACAGCGTGTTCCCCTGCCGTCTCCTCCTGCGTCCTCTCTTCCGCGCATTCCGGACCCTGAGTTTGACTTAGCTCGTGCTGCCAGCACTACTGCCACCCGTCTCCTGGCCACTGCTGTCACTGACCCTTCGTTTGCGTCTGCCCTAGTTGCTGAGCTTG